GCTGCAATCGCCCGTGATCAAAAACAACATAGCTACTTTTCAATTTTTACACTCTGAAATAAAAAAATATATTCTTCTGTTTTCAAATTCCAATAGATGATTGACGAGGATTCATTATCGGGGTGCGCTGAACTGTTATGGTTATACAATCAAGTAAAATAACTAAATGTTTTTAATTATAGAGTTTATGGATTTCGGCTGGGTTTGATTTCTTATGTTTATCGATGTCTGAATGCAGCTTTTCTGACATAAATCATTTTCTTGAAGCTGCTGTGTAGTTTGCGACTTGTTTAACGATTGGTATTTTACGTAGTAGAACTACTGAAAACGTTGAACACACTCTCAAACGACCCGTACGTGCCCATGTGCTATACAATGGAATCGTCCAGCGCTGTCTTTTGGAAAATAAAAATTCGTGCTGTTCTGTCGCGGTATGGTAGTATGTACACACTACATGTACATATTAGAAGCGCTCCGCGAAGTAAGCACTCTACTTAGATGCAGAACTAGGATTAAGTCATACGGTGTTGAGAAGACCGCGGGGATATCATGTACGGAGGGCAATTAACTTAGCCACAGATGAGTGATCCCGGAGATTGACCATCCCCGAGAAGAGTCAGTACAATTTATTTCCAATCAACCGACTATCAGGAGCAGTTTAATGTTTGTATTGGCTGCCCTCAATTAGACACGGTGGAAGCGCTCGGACGACAATGTCAGTGAGCATTGCTAGTGTGAAGCCGAGTGGGACAGTGTTGCCGATGATCATCCCAGCGGTACGATCTATTTGACACTTTCGGACTTTGTTTGCTGTCACCGCCGTCGTATCACAACGTTTTCATGAATTCCAACGGATGCTATCGGAGCAACCAAATAGACAGCATGGACGCCGCCTCGAATCATAGCGGTAAGCACTCTGCATACGACGCAGTCGAAATGAACGGCATCGAGACGGAGAAACTTCAGCCGAAAGTGATCACTCCGACGTCAAAGCGAGATCGGCGGCGACTCCGTCGGCGAAAACAACTGGTGTCATATTTTGTTATTTTGCTTTTGTCTGTGTGCATAGTTGCTTTAGTTGTAGCCTATATCTCTTTATTGTACACTTCAACACGAGCTACTGTGTGCTTGACACCCGAGTGTCTAGCGACGGCTTCCTTTTTAACGGGGAACATGAACACTTCTATCGATCCGTGTGACGACTTCTTTGAGTACGCTTGCGGTGGGTGGATTAAGAAAAACCCGATTCCATCTGATCGGGTTTTCTGGGGAATTGACTCAATTCTTTGGAAAGAAACGCAAGAATTTTTAAAGGAACTTATTGAGGAAGATATCGAGAGGTATACGGAATCCTCCTCTGAAAGGAAGGCAAAAGAATTGTACCAGTCGTGCATGAACAAAGAGCAAATCGAGAACGCACAAGGAGAGCCGATGAAGCAGCTGATAGAACGTTTACAAGGCTGGTACGGCCTAGGCAGCTGGAACGAAAATACATGGAATATGTTGGACATGCTGATACTACTGCATGGTGAATTGTGGAACGATCCTTTCTTTGCCTTCGGCGTGGGCGTTGACGATAAAAACTCGAAAAGAAACATCATACAGGTAAGTGGATATTTATATGATTGTTTAAAAAAAAACATAAACATCATTGTGTAACGCAATGTGTGTGATCGCTCTGTTGTGGAAATACTTTCAGTAAGTAACACGCATAATGTATAAACAACCTGTACTTTTCCAAACGTGCTTTCGAAAACTCAAACGTAAACATCGACACAGTTCACTACAGATGAATACACACACAAGACACAGTCCAATCCAAGGATACGGTATCTAAAATCCAAGATACTAAATATTCATTTACACTATCATGCAAGAAATAATTGCCTCTCCAAAACACTCTCCCATATTATTTTAATTGAAACATTAGAGTGTAAAAACCTGTGATTTAACAATTAAAAAGTATAGCAAATACGTGAATAATAGCGTTATTCTACGCACCGAATGGCCGACCCATATTTATCGACTTAAGTTTGTTATTATAGCTCGTCGCCTTCTGAACTACTTACAACTATATTTGGGTGGCCGCTATCTGGCATTACGTGCCCTGCGTACTGCGAAATCCATATCTCACAAAACCGCCGCGGATTCAAGTGGCATGACCACATCTGCATTTCAGCTGCTAACATCAGACTTCAGTATTAGAATATCCGTCACTGTTATTAACATGTCTACATTCACCACGTGCTGTTTACATTTTCCCACGTGTAATTTGTTATCGAAATGTTCAGCTATTATTGCCATAAATTGTCAATTGATTTTTATTCAGCCATGGAAGTTGCCTAGGAAAATCAATGCGAAATAATTCTTCTTTTAATGATTGTATTGATTGAATTGCACGTATCACGAATCCAACCACCTTGTCCACTACGGCGCTCTTAAATTGATATATACAGTTGCTTCTGGCTCACGATCAGGTGTTCTGCAGTTGCATTGCTATCCCGAGGTAATCAACAGAACATTGGCCATACCCTGGGGTGAGTGTACCGCATACTAAAAAAAAGGCCAGGTTAAAGTCCGAGTAGTGGCTAAATTCCACAGGTTCATGTATTTGATTTGGCCTGCTTGACGCCGGAATAGCGCGTACGTATTGTTGCAATTCCATTTTGATATGTGAAGTTCGTCACACAGCCCCGTCAGGCACGATGTATCCAAACACGGAAATATAGGACACTGTAGTCAGATTCACTACATATGCGATCTGCACTACTATGCAATGTGCCCATGCAAAAGTGACAGTGAATGTCGGGAAAGAATCGGTGGAAACATTACATAACATACATTAGAGGTGGACGGTACATGTAAGTCAATGTACACGCAATTACAAAAGTAATCTCCAGGGATCTAAAGACTTTAAAAATAATTGCTATCCGTCATTTGCAAATACGAAAGAAAATAAGAAGAGGAATAGGAAAGACGGGATGCTGTAATTTGAGTCGGTCTTTCTGTACTGTGCGGAACAGATGACAATCTTTAATTAGACATTTTGTCTTGTATATGATAACGTCTGACACATGCGCACTTCATCCACACGTTCTAGCAAACAATTCAGATAGCAGTACTCAACTCGTCAAAATGTCTATGGTCATGTTACCGGCGTGCCTTGAGGTTTATTCAATGTTATAACCAGCTAAGTTTCCAGTTGATTACATGCCCATACACCCATCAATGCCCAGTCACCGACTGATTACATGCCCATACACCCACCAATGCCCAGTCACCGACTGATTACATGCCCATACACCCACCAATGCCCAGTCACCGACTGATCACATACCCATACACCCATCAATGCCCAGTCACCGACTGATTACATGCCCATACACCCACCGATGCCCAGTCACCGACTGATTACATGCCTAAACACCTACCAATGCCCAGTCACCGGCTGATTGCATGCCCATACACCCACCAATGCCCAGTCACCGACTGATTACATGCCCATACACCCACCAATGCCCAGTCACCGACTGATTACATGCCCATACACCCACCAATGCCCAGTCACCGACTGATTACATGCATAAACACCCACCAATGCCCAGTCACCGACTGATTACATGCCTAAACACCCACCAATGTCCTGTCACCGACTGATTATATGCCTAAACACCCACCAATGCCCAGTCACCGACTGATTACATGCCCATACACTGACCAATGCCCAGTCACCGACTGATTACATGCCTAAACACCCACCAATGCCCAGTCACCGACTGATTACCTGCCCATACACCAACCAATGCCCAGTCACTGACTGATTACATGCCCATACACCTACCAATGCTCAGTCACCGACAGATTACATGCCCATACACCCACCAATGCCCAGTCACTGACTGATTACATGCCCATACAACAACCAATGCACAGTCTCCGACCGATTACATGCACATACACCCACCAATGCCCAGTCACCGACTGATCACATACCCATACACGCATCAATGCCCAGTCACCGACTGATTACATGCCCATACACCCACCAATGCCCTGTCACCGACTGATTACATGCCTAAACACCCACCAATGCCCAGTCACCGGCTGATTGCATGCCCATACACCCACCAATGCCCAGTCACCGACTGATTACATGCCCATACACCCACCAATGCACAGTCACCGACTGATTACATGTCTAAACACCCACCAATGCCCAGTCACCGACTGATTACATGCCTAAACACCCACCAATGCCCTGTCACCGACTGATTATATGCCTAAACACCCACCAATGCCCAGTCACCGACTGATTACATGCCCATGCACCCACCAATGCTCAATCACCGACTGATTACATGCCCATACACCTACCAATGCCCAGTCACCGACTGATTACATGCCTAAACACCCACCAATGCCCAGTCACCGACTGATTACATGCCCATACACCTACCAATGCTCAGTCACCGACTGATTACCTTCCCATACACCAACCAATGCCCAGTCGCCGACTGATTACATGCCCATACACCTACCAATGCTCAGTCACCGACAAATTACATGCCCATACACCCACCAATGCCCAGTCACTGACTGATTACATGCACATACACCCACCAATGCCCAGTCACTGGTTGAATACATGCCAATATACCCACCGATGCCAAGTCATTGTCAGATTACATGCCCATTCCCCCACGAATGCCAAATCATAGAAAATAATAAATTGTCATTATAGAAAATAACACCAACTATACAGGCCGCCTCATAATGAGAGGAAGTTTCACACCAAAATTAACTAGATTTCCTACATATATCCCTAATCCCTATCATGATTTGGAACGTATTTATTATTCAAAATTCATATCCTATTCTTTACCCCATTTGTGAACTTGAATACCCGGCCCCATATGTAGAATTTCTAACCGCATTCAACATTGAAACCCATATGTTCTCATCTATGTTTGACACTATATTTAATACACCCAATTTCTCAGTTTATTTTACCATATCCTCCACACTTTACTCAGAATATATGCTTATATTAAAATTTAGTGTCGTATTTTCTATCGACCTCAGATAGGCACTTTTTTTTTGCTCGGAAGAAATGAGTTTGCACATTGACGCCATACAAAGCTGACGCAGTATTGTAATCAACAGTGGTCCGATTTTCAACATTAGTACCCAGATACACTGGGATATCACGATCGATGCCCTGTTTACACAGTAATACCCATTATCACATTAGTATTGCTATTGTTAAAAACGAATTCCATGATACACATCGGGTACATGTTAAACTGAAAGCAAACAACCCTGGAATAACAGATTTGTCAATGGCTATGGGTAAATTATCTTATAATAATTACATTTAAATTATGTAGCACTTCGATATTCTCATACCGGAAGTGACGTACACATCCCTTTAGTTGGCTGCTATCACATTCAGTTTGACTCTAATAACAGAACACTTCAATAAAAGCCGATGTTTATTGCACGCCGGAAGGCACATAATTTAATTCGAAACGCTTGTTTTTATATAGTAACACGTATCGATGATCGATAGAAATAAGGAGTTTTGGTGTGAGTCGATCTCCTATAATTTGAAAACCATTCTTGCGACGCGTAAACAAATCTAAATTGTAAAAAAAAACGCGTAAAGCAAAAAATAAACATATATTCTTTTGTTGATTGGTGTATTTACTTAACTGAACGAGTCATTGGTATTCACTTTTGTGCGCACCATCTAATGTAAAGCATGTATGCAATTACTTATAATGGAAAACTGTACTTTAGATCGATCCGTACAACTACTCTGAAATAAAGAGTCTTTCTAATTCCCCCGCATAATGACATAGAGTTTGAGCAATTGAAGACAATTGCCCCTGAATACGAACCCAGCCCCAATTATTGTAATTATGCAATGAAACAATCTGGAGCATATTCAAATAAAAAAACATTTTTTACTTCAGCAACATCACTAATAATTTAATGAGATGTCATATTGCAACTACTAAATACTGACAAGCGATCTAGATACGTAAAGGGTTACACAGCATTTAAAGTGTTTTTGGGTTTTACGCTTTCAGACTAACAGTACATTATCACTGCATTAAGAGTTGGCCGCTGCTCCAGCTGGCCTTTTTCAGACATTCTCAATACACTCGCTGATTGATAACCTTTGATGTAAAAACCGCAGCGTGCACGGTTATTTTCTGCTATATTACATCGGCATATGGAGTACGATGGATGTAACTATTTTTCTGAAACGAAGCATTGATAAATTTAAGATTATCGCGATTTTAACATTTTAACATATATATCTATATTACGATAATGCATTGAAATATTGAAAACGTATGTGTTGTCAACCATTTGTCGATTCAGTATATATTGATAATATGTATAACCCAATGAACAAAAACATACAAACTTTATTACTAACTAATTATCCCAATTGTTGGCATGTTGTCAAACTATTAT